CTTCTCCCTCTTTTCTTAGCCCCCGATTTTCTTCCCTGTCTGATTCCCTATTTTGGTTCATGCGTACATGAGTATCGAAGTGAAGGATAGGTCATACATCGTTATGTCTCTTCTTGTCATTGATGGCATCATACCTCGTGGTTTTTTTTCTTCTTTTTTCCCCCCCTCTTTTTTCCCTTAGGGTAGGTTTCATTGCCGGTTCGCTTTTCTTCGTTCTCATCTATTCATTCGTCATAGGAGTCACACATCGACTCGCTCTCTTGTCGCCTTCTTTCTGGGACTGTCGGGTTCGTCTCCAGAGATAAAAAGCCGTGTTCGCCGTACTAGGCGAGCACCGTCGGAATGGTGTCAGTGACCGTCGGGGAGCCGACAGCTGAAGGAGCCGAGCTTGGAGGCGGTGGAGGTGTTGTATGGCCGGAGCTAGTGGGCGCACCCATGTGGTGACCGGCTGCGCTCTCTCCTTCCTTCGGCGGAAGCAGAACGTGACTGCAAAAGTGTAGTTCCAGAGAGCGGGATGTCTCTGGACTGAAGGCGCAGGTTTCCAACTTGCGAACGACGTCGTCGTCTGTCAGAGGCCAGAGGGTTAGTTATGTGATACAGCAGAGAGGCAATGGAACAAAAGTTGTCTTACAGTCAAGGTTCAGCGCATTAAAGAACTCCACCACTGGAGCATGGTCGGGATCGCCAATGTCGAGTACGGTCAAGCGTCCGTCGAGTGCCCGGAATGTCTTCGGATGGGCCTTCCGGAGGGTCAGCAGCATCTTCAACAGGTCTGCAATCTCGTGGCCTTGGTTGACATAGCATGAGGGTGGACGGTCCAGAGGCCAACGCTGGCGGAAGTCGTCCATCTCCCAAACCTTGAAGGTCCAGGTGGTTTTCTCGAGACAGTGCAGGAGGATGAGGATCGAAAGGTACACGTCAAAGTGGATCCTGGCCTTGCCGTTTTCAAGACACCGCTGAAGCTCACTAATCAGTTTGTTGGAGACGTTGTTCGCTCTGCGCTCGGTCGCTGCGGACAATTGGAATGTTATCAGGTTGTAGATATCCTGATCGTCGCTGCCTGCAAAGTCCTCAGGGCCGCGGGGAACGACAACACCTTGATGTTCTTCAGAGATGTACCAGCCGCGCTCACGGTCAAGAATCTCAATAAGACCCCATAGGTCAATGGCAAGTTTCAAGATTTTGCCGGTAGCCTTGTCCCCTGGGAATTTCTGCGCAGAGTCCAGGACCACTTGCATAAAGTGGGAAGGCTCACGCTGTATAAGGGTGGGCAGAATGAGCTTCAAGAACTCTTCCATTCGAGCTGGAAGGTCTTCCTTGTCTTGATCGATCATGACGACTTGAAACAGCGTATGAGGTTGTTCCGGAGGCTGGCCATCTCCGTTTTGCTGCTCTGCTCCTTCAGGGACTGTTTCGGGCTGGGGCTGACGAGGCGTGACCAGAGCAGCAAGACTGAGACTAGGACTGTCTTCCCACAAGGAAACAACGAGAGAGGTGCCGTTTGAGAGCAGTTGGTAGGACTGCCTGGCCTGCTTAACTCTAGTTTGCGCAAGAACAACAATCAAAGCAGCTGAGTAGAGGGTCAACTCTTGATTGAGACGAGTTCGAACACAAGGATACGTCCAGTGACGGGGGCCTTGGATCTTGCGGCATTGGTCGCAGGGGTCATGGGTGCCGCAGGTCTTTCTCAGGATGCGGCATCGAATACAAGCACCTTTCTTTCGGGCAGCCTGAACTTCCTTCCGTCGGACCGGGGTATACGCCTTTCTTTTGTGCTCACTCGAAGTCCCATTGCCAATGGGCATTCTGGTGCCGCCTCTGTTAGGAGGTGCAATGGTAGCGACATGAGTCGCGATAGTGGGGTTGTGATTGGTAGTCATGTAAGTCATCTCCCCCCAGGGCTGTTGAGGAGTAGTAGCGTTGTTGAGGTCGGGAATCGTGTTGGTGACTTCCGCTGGCGACATGATGGGGCTGACGATCTGGGCCTCGTGATGCTCGGCAGTGAGCTGAGGGTCCATTAGGGTGTGAGTGAGACGGGCGGTTGCAGCGGCAGCAACAGAAAGATCCGACGTGTCTAGAGGATTGGCGGCGGGTTGCTGCGTCGCTGCTTGAAGGTGCTCCATCTTCTCTTCAGTGGTGAGGAAACTCAGAGGGTTGGCGCTTTCCTGGGAGGCCGACTCTGCACATAGTCAGCATTGACCACTTGCACTAATCTCGACTCACGGTGAGGAGACTTTTTTGGGTTTTTCTTTTTTGGCCACGAGGATCGTGGAAAGAGGATAACAAGAGTTCTCGAAGGGTGTAAGGGGTGGAGTGAAGGAGGTGGGGAAAAAAAAGAAGAAGCAAAACTCACCCTTTCTCTCACGAGCAGGCCTGTTCTCATAGCTCACCGGTGGGTTCTCCAAGGTGAACTGTTCCTGGACCTCAAAGCCCATGCCCATGCCCATGCCCATTTGACGAGCGGTCGGATCTGCGACTTCTCGTCCTGGAGCTTGAGGAACACCCATCTCGTTTTCGCCAACCTGACGCGAAGCTTCTGCGAGGGTACGCAACGCGGACCAGTTCTCTGGGGCCTCAGTCGCGACTTCTGCTGCGGCTGCAGCATCAAGCTGGTTGACAGTAAGATTCATGGACCGCGGGGCGGACGCGCCTGAGTGAAGACCAGCAAATCCGAGTGCGGCATTGATACGTTCCTCTGGTGTTATGGCGGGGCATTTTTCGGTAATGTGTTTGTGCAAAACTTCGCCGCGGCCTTTGGGGAAGTTCTCACCGCATAACTTGCAGGTATGGGGATATCGGTTACTTGAGTCGGCCAACTTGGGGCCCCTCGTGAAATACTCCCCAATGACGGGGTTTGGTTTTCTGCCCATGATGACTGTCTGAACGCCCCCAGCCGAGTTCACAGGCCGAGGATTCAGAGGTGCTGGTTTACGGGACAGAGCATGCACTGTTGACCGCCGGAGACCGAGTGGTTGAGAGACGGGCTCGCTGTAGAGTCGCGGTGACCGCCTTTGAAATTCTGCCCTCTGTGCCGATATGGGCGAATTGCCAGCGGATCAGCGCTCTGATATATAGAGAATGGGTGCCAATGTCGGCGTAGCAGTCTGGAGATATTGAAGGCAAAAAATTGCCTTGCCTGGATTATTCCAGCGCGTGACAACGATCGATCTGTCTTTGCTTGACCTGGAGAGAGCGATGCAATTCACAAATTCTGCCAAAATTTTACACCGCTCTGTGCCAAATTTGGATGAAGATAATCCGGAACACCCCGTCGTCCACCTGTCGGATTAATGATGGTGGGGACGTTTAATCACGTGAGTGGCAGCTCAGAAAGGTTTCACCCAGCTGGCACCAGATGTGCTCGTCTCGGCCAACATCGTTAGCAGCACATATGCGTTGCGGTTGCCGTTGCCATACAATACGTGACCACCCACTCACGCCTCGTAGGCGTTCGAGGTCTCCAAACGCATCATTCTTGCTCTTATTCCTCTCTTTCAAGAGCGAAAGGGTAGAAATTCTGGCTCTACGTGCGCGTCCCTTCGATTCCCGTTGTACAGATGTTGTCATATGCCATGCAGCTGTAGGTTGCCATGCAGGCTGCTGGTCGGTTGCTACTGGATTTCTATGGCGTTGTACGGCGTACAGAGGGGTCTTGAGAAGTCTTCCACGCGTGCATTGGCGCATTTGACCCGTAGGCTCGCAAAGTTCCCCTCCGCGGTCGGGTGGCACTGGCTCGTGTCCTTAAGTTGGGGGGCACTTCAAACCACTCTGAGTACCTGAGCTACCTGGGGACTCTCAAGAAACGTGCAAGTCTCGGCGTTGTCGTGACTTAGTGGAACCTGTCCGGCACGGGGCCGAATGCAGGCCACATGCGAGGGCCGAGTGGCTTCATTGTCTCCGGCCGTGTCCTCGAGAACATCTGATTGACGCTAACGGTAACGGAATAGGGGGGATGCCGTCAGTAACCTTGATTCCCTCCGATCCATAGATTCCCCAAAAGAATCCGGGTCTCGGCATCTAGCCCCCAGATTGCTCAAAGACCTGGAACATGCCAACCCGTTCGGCCCGGGCGTTGGCTCGTTGGTTGGCTGGGCTGCACATCGAAACGTTAATATTTGACACCTTCAGGGCGGCGCATCAAGCCTCTGTATGCCCCCATTTCCACGATGCGCTGGCCAAACAGACAGGCAACCCCGACGAGACCCGAATTTTCCCCTCCCTCACAGCGCTTATCCGACGGGGCAATATGTCGAAAGGTTACATTTCGCGCACCTGGGATATCTTTCTAGTCTCGTTGGGCGCTTAGGTAAACTTGGCCAAGTACCGTTCCCGGAGGGGTCAGATCAGAGACGGGACGGCCAACAAGCGAAGGGTTAGCTGGATAAGTAATGCCGCGAAATGAGCCCAACAGCCCCCATTACGAATCCGTCAACACCAAGACTTTGCGCGGCTCGCGGCACTCACGCTCTGAGCACCGCACCGTCATCTGCAGCCTGCCATCCAGCGGCTGTCTTAAACACCGCTTTCTGCCTCACCTCCGTAGCCATCTTCTATATATTTATCATCCCCCTCCCCCGGGTCTTGTCATGCCATCCTGAAAAGCGTCTCGTCCAGTCACAGTCTTTGGTTGCGGCACGTTGCCTGTCCCTCGTTACCCACACCACGGTCCCTACAGCCTAGAATACGACGTCGTCTTTACCTCGTGGGAGCTCCTGCAACGTCGTTTCGTGCTTGTTCTTGAGATCTGGGTCGTTCGTTGCTTTATCAGATCTCCAGCAGAGTCGCGTCTTCCCCGCCTTCCTACTTGGGACCCGTCACTCGGAGACTCGCCCAGGGTGGGCAATCCAGGTGCCAGTGCTACGGGCAATTGTGCTTTGGAAATATACTTATACATCAAGGTGGGCGAAGGTTTGTTGCAAGACTTCGATTGGCACGAGCCTTTGCTTTTGTTTTTTCCCGCAATAGTTTGAAGTTATCAGACCTTGCGATTGTGACGGGAAATGCGGCGCGGTATTCTTCTGCACTTGGCGTCGACGGTGGCAGCACAGTCTGCCGACCTAGCCGGCTATGTTTTGACAGATGTAAGTTGCCTGAGCCCTGGAGCTAGTGTAGGCTCGGTCAACTGACATATCCCCAGACTGGCTCCGTGGGTGGAGGCAACACGTTCCCCGGGGTTTCGAGGCCCCTGGGCATGGTCAAGCTAGGGCCCGACCTTGAGAACGGGGTCGATGCCTACTCTGGATACCTTCCTGATGGCCACTTCATAGGCTTCTCTATGCTGCACGAGTCCGGTACTGGAGGTGCCCCAAAGTATGGCGTCGTCAACCAAATGCCTGTTGTAGGCGACATCGAGAACCCGTTGAGCCAAAACACCGACACCCGGGCGCAGCCCGACGAGACTGAGGTTGGCCACTACAAATCGTTTCTCAGCTCTGGAGTCACCGTCGAACTCGGGGCGACAAAAAAAGCCGGCCTCTATCAGTATAGTTTCCCTAAAGACAAAGGCTCTTCCAACGTAATCGTAGACGTATCCCATGTCCTGCCATCGTACAGGGGACAGGGTCTGGGGCAAGATTATTTGGGGGGGAAAATTGAGATCAAGGAAGGCGATGACTTTCACTACGAAGGTTACGGATACTATGACAACGTAAGCTATGCCGACCATGCCACTTAACCCAGGAACCTCGACTGACCCCCAAAAGGGCTGGAACCGCGCGGCGAAATGGCAAGTATTCTTCTGCGGCTACTTTGATAGCACGCCGACTTGGAAAACATTTCTCGGTAAGGACCTCACATCGACTGAGCTTTCGGAGTACGGCGTAGAGACGACTTATGAATCCGAGACCCAGCGGCTGGGAGCCATCTTCACTTTCGAAGACACTGCCGTTAAGTCGAGGGTCGGAGTCTCATTCATCTCCGAGTCCCAAGCTTGCAGCAATGTAAATACGGAGATACCCGCAGACAAGAGTCTGGCTTCTGTGAGGCAAGACACTCGGGATGCGTGGAACACGGAGGTGCTCTCCAAAGTCAGGACATCCGACACGAACACGACAAAGCTCACCCAGCTGTACACGGCCCTGTACTTCATGAACCTGCTTCCGACCAACAAGACAGGCGAGAACCCCCTTTGGAACTCCGAGGAGCCGTACTATGATGACATCTTTACGTTCTGGGATACTGTAAGTCTCGCGCGCGGAGATTCTGACTTAGCACGTAGCTAATAGGCCACATAGTTCCGTTGCACCACTTCGCTCCTTCATGTCCTCCAACCCGAGGCTTATGAAGAATTCATCCGTTCCATGATTGACATCTGGCGCCATGAGGGCTACGTCTCCGACGCCCGCTCCTCTTTCTTCAACGGTGCCGTACAAGGTGGCTCCAACAGCGACAACGTCCTCGCCGACGCGTACGTAAAGGGCGTCCGCGGCAAGGTCGACTGGAATGACGGTTTGTCTGCCATGCTCAAGAACGGAGAAATCACCCCACCGAACAACAACGATCCTCGTGACCGCTCCAGCTCGACCAAGGAAGGCCGCGGCGCACTCCCGGACTGGCTAGAGTATGGGTACATTACCCCGACGTTTGCTCGCGCTGTTACTCGCGCCGTGGAGTACTCAACAAACGACTTTGCCATCTACCAGGTGTCCAAGGGCCTCGGTCTGACGGATACTGCAGACAAGTACCTCAAGCGCTCTCGCTACTGGCGTAACCATTGGAACGAGAACATGGAGGCTCTTGGCTTCAAGGGCTTCATGGGCCCCCGCAACTCGGACGGGAGCTTTCCGTCACAGGACCCCCTTGACTGCGGTGGTTGCTACTGGGCGGAGGCATACTATCAAGCTACGCCCTGGGAGTACTCGTTTAACGCGCACCATGATGCCGCACACATGATCGAGCTTGTCGGCGGAGCGCAAAACTACTCTGACAGGCTCGAAAAAACCTTCGAACCGGGACAGTACAAGGGCAACGGCCAATTCGGCAACACAATTTTCAACCCAGGCAACGAGCCTAGCTTTGGCACGCCGTACCTATTCAACTTTGTTAATAAGCAGCACCTCAGTGTTGAACGTTCGCGTTTCGTCGCCAAATCCTACTACAAGCCCGCCCCCAACGGCTTGCCCGGAAACTCCGATGCTGGAGCTATGGAGTCGTGGCTGCTTTGGAATATGATCGGCCTGTATCCCTTGACAGGACAGACGACGTTCCTCGTTGGCTCTCCCTGGTTCTCAGACCTGACTATGTTGCTCGGCGGCGGCCGTGAGCTCAACATCACGTCGACGGGCGGGTCCGAGGAGTCGTTCTACGTGCAATCATTGCGCGTCAACGGTGAGGAATGGGACAAGTCTTGGGTGACATGGAACGATCTCTTCGCTGAAGGAGGCTCGCTTGAATTCGAGCTGGGGACACAGCCCAAGGAGTGGGCGACGGGAGAGCTGCCCCCGAGTCCGGCTAGTGTGGACTCGCCGAGCTCCAGTTCGAGGTTGACACAGCAGCGGCGAAGGCGTTGGTGGCGTCGCGGTGAAGATGCCATTGGATGGTAGTTTGCTGCGTCTTGTGGCCGATACTGGTGGAGCTAGCTTTTTGGCTAGAGCGGAACGAGAATGTGTATCTTCCGCTCTGCTCACTAAATCTCTTGCCAATCTATGAGTGTCTCCTGTGTTGAATTCTCAAAATCACACAGCTACCGTCGACATTCTTCACGCACAATCACACATTTGAGTATTCTCCTACACAAAGGACTCGTGGTAAGTGCTGGATAGCAAAAACGACTCGTATTTTCACACACAAACTCCTTCGCTATGCCAATATTGCCTTTAAACATAGAATGCGGAGTGAGGGTATCGAACTCATAATGTACCTATGAAAAGCAACGTTGTATTCTACTCTTGATCAACGGGATTCTCCTCCGCCCCACACGTTCTTGAAATCGTCTGCATCTCCCACACGAAAGTTGTTGTTGAAGTCGTTTTCTTGTTCGCTCTCCGCCCAAGGTGAGGCCATGGCTTCTTGTAGATGAGGTGACTCTAAGTCTTTGTCTGCGTCTTGTTGAGCAACAGCGGATGTATCAGGTTGAACGGGCGGGGCAGGTGCTCTTGCAGAGTCAGGAGCCGGACTTTGCTGCTTGGTTGACGGCCCGGACCCTGAATGAATCGGGGATGGTGTTGAGCCTGATCTCTCAAGAGGCTCTTGCTTCTGTTTGTGTTTCTTCTTCTTCTTGCTGGCAACTACTATCGGTTGGTCAAGCCGAGGAGACCGGCGGAGATGTTCAGTGGTGGAACGAGATGAGGACGCAAAGCCCAAGCTGCCCTGAGAAGACATATACCGCTTGCTCAACGGCTCACTCGCCGTGATTACGGGATACTAGATGAGCTTAGTAATCGCATGAACGTCGCTTTGGGGTCTATCTTACATTCCAATCACCAAACTCTAGCTCGCGTGCCTTGGTATAGAGTTGCTCTTCATCGGGGTCAATCTGGGGATCATTGGCCAGGCCTTCGTTGAAAGTGCCGTTGGCATAGTTGTACTCTTCGCTCGGGCCGCCCGCAGTTCCCACGAGCAATGGATCCCGCTCGTTCATATCACGATTGACTTGACGGTCAACCTGGCCGGGTGTCGGTATCCAGTACTTTCCCTTTCCGCCCCTAGAGTACCGCATGCCCTCCTTAAGCCTGCCAAGCCTAGCGCGTGACTCTTCGTGGGCCATGATCTTATCTCCTGAGTCGAAAGCACGGTATCCGTACTTGTCGCCTTTGAGGGTCTCCTTGGTATCCTCGATCAGATCTCTGACGCCAAAAGCGTCACGGAAGGCGAACTTGACAGGCATCCTGGCAGACAGGATGCTGTTGTCAGCGAAGTCGTGCCAGGAGAAGGCATACCAGTGGGCGATGGCGAACGCAGGCATCTCTATGCAAATCAGAGCATCCTGTATGGCCGCAGCCAGGTTGCTGGGGGTGTAGCCTTCGACATTATCCGGGATGGCACCCAGCCAAACGAGAATCGAGAGCAGAAATCCCTGCCAGTAGGATGCAAAGATAATGAGTTTAATACACAGAAACTTGGGCACAGGGCGAAAAGGAACCAGGTCGTTGTGCATACACACCCAGAACAGACCAAGGCAGTACAGACTGAGGGTCACACTGATGTTGTAGATCAGGCTGGTCCAGAAGTAGCCCGACTCCGCCCCAATGTATCCTTCTTGGTAGGTTCCGGTTGCCTTCATAATGACGGTTGCTAGAGCGAGAACAGGTTTGAGCCATGCATATTGAAGGATGCCGCGCTTGATGGCGAGGAAGGTATGAGGGTCTGATATATCGACTCGGGCGAGGACATGATTCATGGGCCAAAGGTGGTGAACGGGCTCCCGGCCATGGGTCATGATGATCAAAGCGCGTTCCCCACTGAGGTAGTTGATAAGGAGTTGGAAGAAGGTGTAGATGGTGAAAGCCTGGGAATGTCAGATAGGAAAGGCTGTAGCTTTGGAATAAGGTGTACCTCGTATATATCACGGATAGGGTCAAGAAACGAGGCAGCCGTAATGGAAACCATGCTCGTCCATGAGGCGATGGAGTAGATGGGGACCCTAAAACAGCCAGTCAACGACGCGGACGCTTCTGCTACGACATCAAGCCAACGTACATGAGCAGTATCCGAATGACATAGCGCTGGAGCAGAGGCTTGCGATAGTTTTTGCTATATCCATATTAATCGCTGGGCATCGTGAAGTGGATCGCGGGACGGCCTACGACTGCAGGAAGATGGAACTATGGAGCGTATGTTAGCCTCAGCTCTGATCGTCCTGAGAAAGACCAAGGGCTATGCTCACACGCCAGACAAAAGTGTCGCTATCAAGGCCGCGACGCCGGAGACGATGATAGTCGCCGTGGTCAGCTTCTCGCCCGTGCCGCCCGCCATATTGTCTGCGGCGCGGAGAGATGCGTCAAGTGCGGTGGGTTGTGGTGATGGTGGTCGTGCGCCTAGCTAGAAGCCATCGAGGAAGCTCAGGTCGAAGAAGAACTGGGAGACGCGCGAAACGGGCAGTATCGTGCGGTGGCGGCCGATAGCAGGTGGTTTTCGCAGCCACAAATTGATCTATCGCCAGCAAAGAGTAAGGTATGCGGATACAGCAAGGGACAAGGGCAAAGTGGGCGAGACTTGAAGAGGGGAGCTGCGACCTTCAGACGCGACGGCGACGGCGACAGCGACAGCGACAGCGATGACGATAGACCGTGCTGCCCTCAGCTGCTATTGCACTCGTAAAGTGTTGCGCAAGTGTAACCTGCCAGACGTGAAGGAGCACAGGCACAGGTCGCTGCAGCCTGGAACAACTGGAGGTAGGTACGTACCGGCTGTACGTCAGGCGGGCCAGACCCTCCGCCAGCACCAACTACATACCTTAATTAGAGCTTCCTATTAATCGTTAGCAGACAGGCGGCAGGCAGCTCCCTTGGGCTGCTGGGGTAGATGGTTTCACCGCATGCTTGGGGTCAGAGACCAGGCCGTGACATGTGGGGGACGGGGACATTGAGTCTTCCACCTCCCACGCCTCCAGAAGCTGATTATGTACGATGATCCACTGCAAACGGCAAGCTCCAGCAGGGCAACGTACGGCATACCGGGTCCCTGCCTCGGGGCCACTCCCGCCTACCTTAGGTACTTACTTACCTCAGGCCCTTAGCGCGAGACAACAGCCCCATCACATGGATGCGCTGGAGGGCACGAAGCTGGTTCACAGTCCGGGCGCCTTCCATGCATCAATGAACCTACCTTCTAAGGTACTAACCGTGGGCACCCGCGCTTTGCATTTGATCTGCATTGGTTGGATCCCGAGCTTCCATCCCGTCCCAGCTTTCCGTTACCTTACCTACCTCACCAGCCGCAACTGACCGCAGCACACCTCACCGCATACGCTCTCTCTTGCCTGCTCAACATTACAACCCGACTCGACTTCTTGATCCCCCATAGTCCGAACGCGATCCCCTCCAAATGCTCCATCTCGCGGACTGCTAGCACTGCTTGCGACCGCTTGCTAGCCCCGTGCTGGTGCTCCTCGGACAACACCACCACACTTGCACGAATCTCCCCTGCGACCTGCGACCACGAACACCCGAACCCACACGAGAGACATGGCAGCAGAGAAGATCGAGACCCTCTGAATTCGATGCCACCGCTTGAGTCTTGCCGCTTCTGAGGATCCCGTTCTGCAATGGCGCAAGAAGGGGAGCCCAATCCCGCTCCGGCGGGAACGCCAGCCTTCAACGGGTACTTGACGCGATTTGACATGATAATGCTTAGCCAATGCTGACCGCTGATCTTTACAGGGAGTTTCTGGCCTACATGCTCGTCTGCGCTGCTCTGTGAGAATCGACAACTCTTTGGCAAAACAACGCGACCAATTGCTTACTCTCTCCAGTGCCGTCTTCTTTCTCCTTTACTTCAACCGAGCCTTCGGATCCCTACTTTCGTGGGGCATACGCACCTACACTTGGCACCGCTACCGCATTTACCTCGACATCCAGGCGTTACAGGTCTCCCTTCTCGGCGGCCGCATATTCTTCACCGGCCTGCGGTATCACGGCAATAACGAAACCTTTCTCGTTCAACATGGCTACGTCACTTGGAGGTACTGGTTGCGCCGTGTGCGCGAGGTGGACATCAAAGCTTCGGCACAGCAGCAAGCTGAACAGGCATCATTTCTCACAAATGGCCGTCACTCAAACCTTCCTTGCAGAGTAACCATGTCTCTGGTTGGCTTGGAGTGGTTCATCTACAATCGAAGCCCGGCATACGACAGCGTTTTGGCTGGACTCAAGGAACCGACCGCTGCCGAGAACGTGTCAACGGCCTTCAAGTCTAAAGAAGAGACGGTCTCTCTCAGAAATCGAGGGCAGAGGGAATCCGAGAAGTCAGATCGCTCACAAGATGCCCCTGAAAAGGAAGCTCCTGGAGCTGCGCTTCTTTCCAGAATAGGAAACACTCTAGGTCGCCGTGGCTCTTCCGCCAGCCAAATTAGCACACCTTCTGATGTGCCTGAAGGAAGCAATGAGGCCACTCAGCCAGACTCCGACCTACCCCTCCTGCTGCAGCTATTCCCTATCTTTGTTACTTGCCAAAAAGCGGCGGTGGTCTTGGGAAACGACAACACGAAGGCCATCTTGATTGTCAAAGCCGATGGACTGTCAGGCGAAATCGATGCCTCAAAAACGTCAACGCCGGACCCGTACAAACAGATCTTCAAGATCAAATTCCAGCATCCCATTGTAGAGATGAGAGAAAATGACGACTTCAAAGAGGACCAGGCCACTAGGGCAAGTCGTGAAAAACTAGTAGCCCAGGAACCTAGCCCGACTTACAAGACATCGTTTTTCAAGAGACAACGCCGCCGTGCACTGGGCACTTTGAGGAATCTGGTACCGTATTGGCGCAAATCGGTCGAGTCCTTCTCGTTGGGTTCAAGGAGCCCTCTTACGACAGCTGTATCGCAGATACCTGGGTCCAGTCATTGGCAAGGTTTGGCACGATATCTTGACGAGGACGAACAGGA